TGCTTATTGGTTCAGTTGTAAGGATTTTTGTTTTCTTTATATTAAGGTGTAATCCATACTGCAAAGTGAAGTCTTTAATCTTCATCAGTAAGTGCTTCAAGTCATCCTCACTTTTAGCAAGCAAAGTTGTGTCATCTGCATATCGCAGGTTGTTAATGAGTCTTCCTCCAATCCTGACGCCACATTCTTCTTCATACAGTCCAGCTTCTTGGATTATTTGCTCAGCATACAGATTGAATTAAGGATGATGAAAGGATACAGCCCTGACACACTCCCTTCCTGATTTTAAACCATGCGGTATTCCCTTGTTCTGTTCAAACAACAGTTTCCTGGTCTATGTACAGGTTCCTCAGGACTATAATTAAATGTTCTGGAACTCCTATTTTTCTCGATGTTATCCAATTTGTTATGATCCAAACAATCGAATGCTTTTGCATTGTCAATAAAACACAAGTAAACATCTTTCTGGTATTCTTGGCTTTTAGCCAAAATGCATCTGACACCAGCAATGATATCCCCCATTCCAAGTCCTCTTCTGAATCTAGTTTGCATTTCTCAAAGTTCTCCATCAATATACTGCTGCAACCGTTTTTGAATTATCTTCAGTAAGATTTTACTTGTGTGTGACAGTAATGGTATTGTCTGATCATTTCCACATTCTGTGGGATCACCTTTCTTTGGAATGGGTACAAATATGGATCTCTTCCAGTCAGTTGGCCAGACAGTTGTCTTCCAAATCTCGTGGCATAGCTGAGTGAGTGCCCGCAGCATGGCATCTGTTTCTTAAAACATCTCAACAGGTAGTCTGTCAATTCTCAGAGCCTTGTTTTTTGCTAATTCCTTTAGTACAGCTTCGACTTCTTCCTTCAATACCATTGGTTCTTGATCATATGCTACCTCCTGAAATGGATGAACACTGACCAATTGTTTTTGGTACAGTGACTCTGTGTATTCCTTCCATCTTCTTTTGATGTTTCCTGTATAATTCAATATTTTACCCATAGAATCTTTCAATATTGCAACTCAAGGTTTCAATTTTTTCTTCAGTTCTTTCAGCTTGAGAAATGCCAAGAGTGTTCTTCCCTTTTACCTTTCCAACTCAATGTCTTTACACATTTCATTATAGTAATTGACTGTCTTCTATAGCTGTTCTTTGAAATCTTCTGTTCAGCTCTTTTATCCTGTCAATTCTTCCATTTGCTTTAGCTTCTCCCCATTGAAAAGCAAGTTTCAGACTCCCTTTTGATGTCAATTTTGGTCTTTTCTTCCTTTCCTGTCTCTTCAGTGACCTGCTTTCCTCATGGATGATGTTTCTGATGTCATCCCACAATTCCTCTGGTGTTCAGTCACTGGTATTCAATGCATCAAATCTATTCTTCAGATGGTCTCTAAATTCAGAAGGGATGCAATCAAGGTCATAGTCTGGCTCTTGTGGACTTCTTTTGTCTTCAGTTTCAACTTGTACTTGCATATGAGCAGCTGATGATCTGTTCCACAATCAGCTCCTGGCCTGGTTTTGGCTGAAGATACTGAGCTTCTCCACTGCCTCTTGCCACAGATGTAGTCAATCTGATTGCTGTGTACTCCATCTGAAGTCCACATGTACAGCCACCATTTGTGTTGTTGAAAAAGGGTATTTGCAATGAATAAGTCATTGATCTTGCAAAATTCTATCATGCAATCTCCACATTATTTCTATCACCAAGGCCATATTTTCTGACTACTGGTGATTCTTCTTTATTTCCAACTTTTGCATCCCAGTCACCAGTGATAATCAACACATCTTGATTGCATGTTCGGTCAATTTCAGACTGCAAATGTTGGTAAAAATTTTCAATTTCCTCATCTTTGGCTTTGGTGCTTGGTGTGTAAATTTGAATAGTAGTAATATTAACTGGTCTTCTTTGTAGATGTATGGATATTCTCTTATCACTGACAGCATTGTACTTCAGGATAGATCTTGAAACACTCTTTGTGATGATGAAGGCTATGCCATTCCTCTTCAATTTGTCATTCCCGGCATCGTAGATCATATGATTGTCTGATTCAAATTGGCCGAAACCAGTCCATTTGAGCTCACTAATCCCTAGGATATCAATCTTTATGTATTCCATTTCATTTTTGACAACTTCCAATTTTCCTAGATTCATACTTTGTACATTCCATGTTCCAATTATTAATGGATGTGTGCAGCTATTTCTTCTCATCTTGAGATGTGCCCCATCAGCAAACGGAGGTCCCAAAAGCTTTACTGTATCCACACCAAGGTCGGCTCTACTCTGAGGGGGCAGCTCCTCCTCCAGTAATATTTTGAGTGCCTTCCGACCTGAGGGGCTCATCTTCCGGCACTATATCAGACAATGTTTCAGGGCTATTCATAAATTTTTCAGTAATATATTACACAGTGTTTCACTGACATTCATAAGGTTTTCACTGGCCAGTTCTTTGAGACATGGATGCCCTCTTCCTTCTTCCTAGTGTGTCTTAGTCTGGAAGCTCCATTGAACTCTGCATACTATGGGTAACCCTGCTGGCATTTGAAACACCATTGGCATAGCCTCCAGCCTCACAGCAACACACAAGCCACCACAGTACAACAAACTGTCAAGACAAGTTCATCTCCCTTAGCTGTTCCAAACCACTCCGCTCATTTCCTGGTCTCCCTCAGGTGTTCCAAACCCACCACCAGCTCACTTCCTTCCTGGTCTTCCTCAGCCGCTCCAAACCCGCCACAGCAACTTGCTTCCTTCCTGGTCTCCGTATAAACACTAGTTGGGAAATACTTCTTTTTACCTCATACATAACCTAACATTAAAGTCTTTTTCTTTAAGCAACTAGAAGTTAAGTGTATGGAAAAGAGAGGGATGAGGACTTTTGCAGCAAGGTCTAAATAAATCTTCGAGATTATGCAGTGCAAACCTGTTTTACAGTTTAAGATCCTCAGCAGTTTCCAGGACTTATCCAAGGACCCAACACAGGTCAGTAGCAGAGTGAGAACAGAAACTAGATCTCCCAAATGCTATCAGTTCCATCAACTTTATCATTATTTGCTGTGTAATCCAGGCTGAATAATTATATTCTAAAAACTTAGCATAAGAAATGTTAATAAAAGTCACTCTCCCTGTGAAACAATTTAGATGTAAAAATTTCTCTTTCTCCTCTTTTCTCTTCTCCCCTCTGGTTATTATACAGTGAAGTATTGAAGGGTTTGGGGGGAGGGTTCAATACACATGCTCCATTTTTAATATGGCACTTTCTCAGCTCTCACCTCCATCCTAGTTGAACACACCTGACAAAAAAAGGCTCTAACATATGATTTTGAAACACCATTTTTAAATATATAAGAGAGAAAAAACTATGCCAATTTAAAGTAAAAACCACAGAGAGAAAAATTTAAAAAGCTAGTCCAACCCCTCCAATTTCACAGATGAGTAATCTGTAGCTCTGAATGTTTAAATAATTGTCCAAATTCACTCAGAAAAGCAATAGTATTTTTCCTTCTTAGGAGTGAAAGCAATGATTATAGGACTAAGAGAAAAAAATTCCACTTATTAAAATCAGGTAAGATGCTGAATTTTCTGTTTATACCTGAAAATCATCAACAAGCTCAGGGAAAAGGTGTTCATACATTTTTAGCTCTTCTAGGGCTCGTCCTGGTTCTTGCTGGGGTTTTAGTTTGTTAATATCCGTTTCAATATCTTCATTCTGAAATAACACAAACAGCGTGTCACACTGAAGAAAAACATAAAAACTATAGAATACAATTTCAGATTTAAAATTTTCTAAATCATTAATTACATGTAATTTGAGTCAGGGAATAATCACTAAGTAAAAGTTTTATTTAGTTTTACTTTAAATTCAAATTTGCTTATTATTATTATTGGGTTGTTGTTAATGTTTTGGCCAGTTATTCTAATATAATACAATATTTGGGCTCAAGACAAAAAAACACCACAAGTTATGTATGTCTCTAAAATGTTTCAAATCACAATGGTATGTTACTATTATGCATGCTTTCAACACTGTTATGCTTTCAAAATGTGTATGTATAACTCATTCACAATATGAAGTTAGAAATAGAAATATATGGCTATACATGTGATGTTCTCTAACAAGAAAATCTGTAAGTGGTCAGCACCTTACAAGCTGTTAGAAACTTTAAGTCATCAGAAAGTTATTTAGAAAATTTCTAACTTTAGGAATTGATAATAAAAGAATATCTTAAGTAATACCTTAGTCTCTCAAAAAACAACACGAGGAATGTCATACACAACCCCTTAATCTCTAAAAGACGCAACATTAGGTGAGTGACTATCCTTTAAGGTGTAACACACTAAACATGACATCATTTGGCTGCTATTGTTCGAGACCAAGATTACAAAATTGTATGTAAGCAGCGGGTTTAAGCTCATTCCTTTGAGAGAAAAACAGAGGCCAGAGTCCATTCTCTATGGTCTGCCACACTCTGAAGAGAAGGCCCTGTTAGGAACTAACACTAAGACTCTGCCTACCACTGCCAATTTCAGACACTAGCCATGAGGGATTTCACCCAGTTCAAACCATGATTAAGCCTTTCTCCTGAGAACTCTCATAAAAGGTAGAAGTCTAAAGTTTAAATATTGGAACTCGAGCCATTGAAAAAACATTGCGGTTGTTAATTCTGATTCTCCAAGGTTTACAATGTATGTCTTGAGGTCTTATCTGTGTGCCATGTCACAACTACCTTACAATAAATTGAGTTTACATATGACAAATATGAATCTACTGATTTCTAAATTTCTAAAATTAGACATCATCCAAGACACCTTAGTACCAAGATGAAGATCAAGACTAAAGTATGTTCTCTCTAATCTCCGTAATTGCCATTATCTCTGCTCATATTAAAGGGTTTTTGTTGCTGTTAGGGGAACTCTGGTGTTGCAGTGGTTAAAGCATATGGCTACTAACCAAAAGGTTGCTGATTTAAACCCACTAGCTGCTCCATAGGAGAAAAATGAGACAGTCTTGCTTCCAAGATTTAAAGCCCTGGAAACATTATACGGCAGTTCTACTCTGTCCTATAGGGTTGCTATGAGTTGGAATTGACTCAATGGCATTAGGTTGGTTTTTGGTTCATTGTTGTTAGGCCCTGTCAAGTAGGTTCCTACTCATAGCAAACTCCTGAACAACAGAATGAAATACTGTCTAGTCTTGTGCCATCCTCAGAATCATGGCTATGTTTGAATCCACTGTTTTAGCCACTGTATCAATCCACGTCTATGAGGATCTTTTTAACTAACCCTCTGCTTTACCAAGCATGGTGTTTTCCAGGGACTGGTTCTGTTGATAACATGACCAAAGTACATGAGATGAAGTCTTGCCAATCTCACTTCTAAAGAGCATTCTGGCTATACTTTCTCCAAGACAGATTTGTTCATTCTTCTGGCAATCCATGATATATTCAGAGTTCTGTTGTTGTTGTTGTTATGTGCCGTCGAGTCAGCCCTGACTCATAGCGACCCCTCCTTGGGTTTCCGAGGCAGTATCACTACGGAAGTAGGATTGCCCAACCTTCCTTCCGAGGAGTGGCTGGTGGGTTTGAACCGCCAGCCGTCTGGTTAGCAGGCAAGTGTCTTAGCCACTATGCTACCAGAGCTCCCACCTTATTTGCATGGCCCCACCCAATAATCTGGTGGGAGTTACAAAGACCACGGCTAGAAAAACCACATGAAGTAATTCATTGCACCACAACATATTAGTTCTATATTCAATATTATTTTCTGAAAATACAGCCTTACATAATGTCTCTCTACGTTTTCTTTTTCTTTCTTTTTTTTTTTTTTTTTTTAAGACTCTACCTTCAAAACTGGCACAATGAGGAAAGAAAACTACAACACTTTGAGAATTCAGTGAGAGGGAATTCTGTGTTTTGGTCTGGAGAAAAATAAAGTCAAACAGCTACAGACAGCCTCATAGGAAATAAGTAACTTGCTACCATTCCTTAAAGTTCTTCTAAAATTATGGAGGAGGAGAAAATGTATTGCAGCTTATATAGAGAGAAGTCTTGGCCATCAGAAGACGAGTCTTTTAGAGACTTCATGTTTCTATTAATGCACCAAACTCAGAAAAATCAGAGGCAAAGAGAATGGAATCACTCTGGTATGAAAGAAAATTAAGTACACAGCCACAATAAAACACAAACACCTCATGGGGTCACCATGAGTTAGAATTAACTGGACAGCATATAACAACAAAAACAAAAAGCTATCTCTATTTACCCAATCTTTGTTTTATATCTGTAGAATATAATTTATCAAGCTGACTAATAATAGAAATGTACACCAACCTTAAAATTTTGATCAAGGTCATCTTCATTTTCCATTTCATTTTCAGCTTCTAAATCAATATCATCGTTGTCATCACTCTCATCTACTACGTCATCCACTGTGATACAAAATGAGCTATAAGTAGGCCAGACGTAAGAATTCTACACATGCACATCCAAAGGCAGAATGTTACATATAAAAATATTTTCTATCATCAAAAAAATAAAAAAAGTAAATGAGATTTCTTATGAAAAAATGCCTTTAAGTCTATCCCAGGTGTTGAAAAACCTGTAAGATATGTGAAAGTCCTTTGAAATTTGAAAAGCACTGCAAAAATCAATGGGATTTTACTAATATTCTCAGTTAAAAATTCATGTCAAAGGACTACTACTCAACCATGAAGAGAAACAAACCTCTGGTCCATGCTACAACATGGATGAAGCTTGAAAACATTATGCTCATTGAAGAAGGACAATCACAAAAGGACAGATATTATATCATTTATATGAAATAACAAGAATAGGCAAATGTATAGAGACTAAAGTTTATGAGTGGTTACCAAGGGTGAGAGGGAAGGGAAAAGGGGAAGCCACTGTTTAGGAAGCAGTGAGTTTTTGTTTATGATGATGGGAAATTAGGCAACAATTATGATGATGGTTGCACAAAATTATTAATGTAATTGACATCACTAAATTGTACACCCAAAAATGTTGAGTAACAAATAACATGTTATGTATATTTTTTAAATAAACATAAAATAATGCCATATTATGCATCAGCCAGAATGAAACATGTTTTCTATTCATAAATTTCAGCAACTCACCTCATCCCTTTACACTTCACCTCCCATGTATTTGTTTCAATGACTACCCTGTACCATGCACTACACTGCACACTAAGAATTTTCTAAAAGATTTGAATTTTAAAAAGATAGTCCCTGTCCTCAGGGAGCTAATGAGGTTTAATAGCAGAAAGGGATAAACAAGTAACTGTAATATGAAAGATAAATGCTAATAGAAGCATATATATCAAAATGTTAGGACTGTTGAACTTAAACCTGAGATAGACAAGAATCCCCTTTACTGGTCCTTGTTTTGGACTGATCTCCAAACTTTATTTCTCATCTAGCCAGGAAGTCTCCAGTTGAAATTACAGGTGCCTTCTAAGATGCTCTGGAGAGTAACAGGAAACATGTGGATACCATCTGAGATTTCACCTCTTAGGCATCTAAATGTAATATCCCTGCCTTCTTTACTGAGATGCCTTTAATGGCGGGAGGGGGAGAGAATGTACCACATCCTTTCATTTTCAATTTCTATCTAAGGAAATGAGCTTTGCAATACACTCATATACTAAAAGGTCCCAGTGACATGCCAACCTTGTAATAAAGACAAACATTTTCTTTCCAGATTACACGTTGTTAAACATGTACCATTTTTCTCTAACTTTCCAATCTTTATTCTTAATTCACTAACATTCCTTAATGAAATTTTCTATAATCCAGTTCTTCAAATTCTGTACCACCTTAACAATTCCTTCACTGTGCTAAAATGTTTGTTTCTCACCCAAACAAGACATGTTTTTTTAATCTCTTGGATACACTCTAGTCATCTGTAGATCATCCTCAGTTTTTACTGCCTGCATTATTTACCCAATCTTTTACTGTTAATGCTACTAACAAAAATGTTCAGTCTTTGTTTTTGTTTTTGTTTTTTTAATGTTACTAGAAAACCAGGGATGGATTAACTAATTACAAACTACTTGGGGCCAAAGGCTCATCTGTAATCACTTCACTTCACAGAACAGGTAATATTTAAGCAGTATTTTTTAAAAAGTGTAGCAGATCTGTAGATAATATGAGTGGGTAACTGTGCCTTTTAGGAAGAGGAAGTAATATTGTTAAGATAGGAAAGTGAGATGTAATCTTTGGAAAACAGCAAGAAGTATAACTAGGACACAAAGGATGCTTGGGTACAAGTGACCAATAAAAATGAGAAAACAAAGGGTACATCAAGGAGTGCCATGTAGTTTAGATTTTTAACCTACAGAAGATAAGCACTGAGGATTTTCAAGAGAGAAGTAGCTTAATTAGATGTGCATTTTCAAAAGACCCTCTGACAGGAATGAAGAAGGTCTCATATGGTTGAAAGGAAACCAATTAATAGGGGAAAAGACAATAGCTGCCTGGATCAATACAGCAGTAATGGAGATAAAGAAAGATTATACATTAGAGAAAAACTTGCAAAGTAGAATGTAAAAGATATGGAAAGAATGGATATGGGGAGACAGAGAAGAAGAGCAGAGGAGTACACTGAGGTTTCTCATGTAAGTGTTCTGGTTACCTAGTGCCGCTCTTACAAAAAAAATGCCACAAATGGGATGGCCTTAATGAACAGCAGTTTATTCTTACAATTTGGAGACTTTAAGTCCAAGTTCAAAGTGCCAGGCTCTAGGGACTGGGTGAAAGCCCCTCAACCTTGGGGTTTAGCTCTGCCTCCTGCTCCCGGCCCACTGGAGCTAGAGGCTTTTCTTCACTCAGACAGCTGCTGGCTGCTGAGATTGACAAGCCCAAAGTTGACAAGTAAAAAGGCACAGTCCCAATGTTACTAAACCGCAGAAGTTGACAGGTAAAAAGGCACAGTCCCGATGTTACTAAACCGCACAGCAGGCCATTAATTTAAGTCCACTGAAAGTCCCAAGGTCGGCAGAGCATGGCAGGCTGCTCAACAACATAGCTACATGCAGGGTACAAGTGTGCCATAAGCTGGAGACCATTCCCCAAGGCTTCTGCTTAAAATACAGGAAGCAGACCACATCCCTAAAGCAGCTACTCAGCTGCTCAAAGTAGATTCCACCATGGAGTTGATTACCAGTCTCATCATGGGGAATACTACATCCAGCTGCCCAGCCACTTAACCAGGCCCAGGCAAGTTGACACACAAACTGAACTACCTACCACAATAAGTACTTGAGTATTTTTAAACAAAACAGAAGATTTTTTTAACGTTTTTATTTCCATTTCCAGTGTAACTTACAACAAAGATAAACTGTTCCTCTAGCATCTGTTCTACTCTCCTTCCATTTATAAACAGAATCCCTGAGGTTTTGCTAGAGGTCACAGTTTCCAGCCTTCATTGCAGCTGTGATAGCTGTATGACCAATTGTTGGCCACTGGATCGTAAGGCAAAGTCATACATGCAAATTCTGAGTTGCTATCTTTAGAAAGAAAAGCATCCTCTCCAATTCCTTTCATTCCCATTTCCCACATGCATGAGGGAACCAACACAGAATAAGATGAAAAACAAAATAAAAAGAGTCTGTTTCCTTGATAGTCTAGTACAGCTCAGGATCACCTGATGGTGAGGAAAAGACTTCTATCTTGAGGCAGTATAGCAACATGGGCTGTAGAGACAGAATACATGGGTTCAAACTCCACTTACTAGATATTTAAGCAAGTTATATAAGTTCCCAGGGGATCCCTGATGGTACACAGACAGTGGTTAAGTGTACCACTAACCCAAAGTGTACTGCTAAGTGTACTGCTAACCCAAAGGTTGATGGTTCAAATCCACCAGCCACTCTGTGGGAAAAATATGTGGCAATCTGCTTCTGTAAAAATGTACAGCTTGGAAACACTATGGTGCAGTTCTGCTCTGTTCTATAGGGTCATTCTGAGTTAGGACCGACTTGACAGCAAAGGATATGTAAGTTCTCTGTGTCTCAGTTTCCTCATTTATAAAATTAAGATACCTACTTCATTACGCTTGTGTGTATTAAATGAATTAATATATGTAAAATGCCAAGCAAAGAGTACGTGCTATAAAAATGTTTGTAATTACAGTTTTTGAGTCACTGTGCTACTGGGTTTCTTTACAACAGCAGTTTGATCTATCCTAACTAATACAGTTACTAAACTGCTTTATATTCTGTTTGCAAACAGACAGTATGTACAGTAAAAATTAAATGTTCATATTGTACATGATAACCTAAGTTGTCAATAATTGTCCTAACAGCAATTAGTCGTGAATAAACAAGGGGAAAACTGGAATTTAGAGAGAGAGGGAAAAATAAGAAAGGGATTGAATTCAGAAGATTCTATGCAAGCACTTAAGAGACTGCCTGGTTAGGCAGTCATCAATCTGATACAGCTCAGTATCAAAGAGAAAGTATATTTAGAATTTTTAATCAAATCTTTTAAATGTTTTTCTTTACAATGGTTTTTCCTTTGGGTTTATATTCCAGATATGAAATGCCATACATATAAGCTTAGAGTACCTGAGACTTCAATAATCTATTGCTGTACCATTACCAATAATGAATATTATCATAGCTTACTCATCCTATTAAACCAGAGAATAAAAATCAATTCTTGTTATTAGCTTTCAAAATGTCATTGGTTCATTTATTTATCATTCATTATTATAAAAATATTGTAAAAAAATGTCTGCCAATATGAAATCAGTTAAATTATACTACATCTATATGATGCAACCATTAAAGGAATTAGTCAGTAGTATCTATATAGATATTAAAAGCATATTCCAATATTCCAAAGGGTTACTTACCCTTTATGCTTTTAAACTTTTTTTTTTTTTTTTTAACTGAAACATACAAATACGCACTGCCGTCAGTCAGATCTGACTCATAGCAACCACTCCTTGGGTTTCTGAGGCGGTATCACTATGCAAGTAGATTGCCCAATCTTCCTTCCGAGGAGTGAAAAGTATATTCCAAACGGTTCCTTACCCTTTATGCTTTGCAACTTTTTTTTTTTTTTTTTACTGAAACATACACATACGCACTGCCGTGGAGTAAGATCCAACTCACAGCGACCACTCCTTGGGTTTCCGAGGTGGTATCACTACAGAAGTAGACTGCCCAACCTTCCTTCCGAAGAGTGGCTGGCGAGTTTTAACCACCAGCCTTCTGGTTAGCAGTCAAATGCCTTAGGCACTATGCCACCAGAGCTCCTAAACATACACATAGGAAAACTAATACGTTTTATTTATCTTTTAATTAGTATTTTATTGAACTTTTCTTTTGTCTAAATCATGTGGTACATTTGATTCACTTAGATATTCTAATATTATCCATAGATACTGGTAAACATATCCCATTCTTTCAATAGTTAAGACTATTCCTTTTCCTGTTTTACTGATTTCAATAGTGCTTTCAAAACCATGTTAAATAATAATGATTGAGAGAAGCATTCTCTAACATTTCATTCTCTAACATTTATTTGTGATATTGGCTATTGATTTAGGTCAAATAATACTCAGTTTGTTCAGGAAATGCCACCACTCTGACCTACTTTCCTTAAGAGATTTTATTTAGAACTGATCACCATTTTTTATGAAATCTCTTTATGGTATTTACTGAGATAATCATTTGGTTTGCTTCTTTTGACTTACTAATGATATTTTTATTAACTAAGCTTTAATATTACACTGAACTTACTTCCTTAAAAATAATCTATACTTGGTCACAGTCTCCTACTCATGAAGACTACTGCTTAATTCAATATTAGTATTTTATTTAGGATTTTTACATTTATTTTTATGAGTAACTTTGCTCTACAGAACTCCTTTCAGTAATCTTACCAGGTTTTGTTTTCAGTGTCATGCTAGCTTCTAAACTTTCCTTTTTCTTCCCCCTATGCTTTAGAAAATAAAGCATAGGAAAATTGCTAGAAAGCTGATATAACTAATCCATAAAGTCATCAGCATTTGGTATCTTCACTGAAGATAACCTGAGCACATAATTTCAGGTTTTCTACCATTTAAGCCCATTTTAGTCATTTTTATTTTCCTAAAATATTTCACATTTCAATCATATTTCAAATGTATTTGCAGGAGCTATCTTTACCATCCATTTAGATCAGTTTAACCTTCTCTATTTAATTTGCCAAGAACTTACAGGTATACCAAAATCACCTATAAGCGTCATGCTTCTGTCAATTTCTTTTTGTTATTCAAATAAGTATAGCTTTATCTATCTTGTTTGGCACATGTGTTATCATCTGTTGTTGTTGTTGTTATGTGCTGTATTATCTAGCTTGCATAAAATTATCTTTGCTAGCTTGCTTTAGGGAGCTCTGGTGGCGTAGTGCCTATGGCATTTGACTGCTAACCACAAGACTGGCGGTTCAAACCCACCAGCCACTCCTCAGAAGGAAGAGTAGGCAATCTACTTCCATAGAAAAGAAACCTGTTTTAAACTGAAACCTGTTTTAAACTTTTCTGGTTCTGTGTTTATATTTAAGCAGCCCTGGTAACACAGTGGTTAATGCATTCAGCTGCTAAACAAAAGCCTGGCAGTTCAAACCCATCAGCCAATCTGCAGAAAAAAGATACGGCCATCTGATTCCCGAAAAATTTATAGCCTTCAAAACTCTATGGGGTAGTTCTATTCTGTTTAATGGGGCCACAATAAGAGTCAAAATCAACTCAACAACAGCATGTTTGGTTGTTTTTTGGGGGTTTTCTTTGTCTTCTTGGTACTTATATTTTATGTAATAGCAGTATTTCCTTTCCCACCACTTTTGGACTGGAAAAAACTGATAAAAATGATATATAGGGCCAGTCCTTAAGCTTTCCATCTCTCTGTTTTAAGAGTCTCTCATATTTATCAGCTAGTTGGATTTTGTTTATAACCCAATCTGAGAGTCTCTTTTAATACTGTATCCATTCGGACATCTTATTACTGAAACTGCTTTCAACGTTCCTACTTTGTATTTAAGGCTGTGAGGCTAGTCTCCATTTTTGTGCTTGCTATACTTTTGCTTTGCTTTGTACCTTCCCCTTGTTTTTGTACAGCAGTGACCGGCCAGAGTTCAGGAATTTTTCCCAAGGGAAAAAAAAAAAGAGGTATGTAATTTATCTAGAATTTCCAAGTGTTCATAGTGTCTGAAGCCTATCCATGGATTCCTAAAGTCCTAAGGATTTCTCTTCTAGATTTACTTGTACATTTGAAAACACATAGTTGGACCACTACTTCTATAAATATCATTTTAGAAATGCAAGAATAATGTAATATTGGGAAATCTATCAAAAAAAATTTAATTTATTTGAATAAAAGACTCAGTTTATTATAACTGTATTCAATGTTATCTTTTACCAAAAATTATATTTGTCAAAATATTACATAAATTATTTAGTATTAAATATTTAACCGGTTTTAATGTTTAATACAAAGACCAAAGAAGTAATGATGGCTTTGATTTATGACACTGGCAAAGAATACTGAATATACCATAGACTCCCAGAAGAACGAACAAATCTGTCTTGGAAGAAGTCCAGACAGAATGCTCCTTGGAAGTAAGGATGGCAAGACTTCACCTCATATACTTTGGACATATCAAGAGGGACCAGTCCCAGGGGAAGGGCATCATGCTTGGTTAAGTAGAGGGTCAGCAAAAAAGAGGATGACTCTCAACAAGATGGATGGTCATAGTGGCTCAACAATGGGCTCAGATACAGCAATGACTGTGGGGATGGCACAGGAGTGGACAGTGCTTTGTTCCACTGACACGGGTCACTATGAGTTGGGGCTAACTCAAAGACAACACACAACAAGTTCAGTACAATTATTCTTCATGTCTTCTGCATTCTTGACATCTATAATCCAAGACTTGACTGGCTACAGTAATAGTTCACATCCTTACTTTAGGAAGGATACCTGGGTAAACATTCTTATGTACCCTTACATACCTAAAAATATCTGTCACCTTCGCATATGAATAATAACTTTTAAGGGTTCAGAAATGTTGAGTGAGAACCACTTTCCTTAAAATCTCTGTAGATGATATTTTAATATCTTTTGGTATTTAATGTTCCAGATAATAAGCCTTGAGGCTAGCTCAAATCATTAAACAAGTATTAAGTGCATACTTATTATGTGCCATGCAATCTAATGGATGCTGAGGATAAAAATTAAGAACAAAAACAACACTCTTTTCCTTTTGGAGCTTATATGTTTTCTGAGGAAGGCAAAAAATGACAGAGATTATGATCAATGTTATGGAGGCTAATATGTGAGAATATAAATTATGGCGAGAAGAAGAAAGTATTTTCCACGTATTTATATAGTTACTATTAGAATCATCTTCACATCTTGCTTATAAAGGCTAGTTAAAAAAGAAAAAAATCCCACTTCCATCAAGTCGATTCCAACTCATAGTGACCCCCTTTTGGTTTCCAAGCCTATAAATCTTTACAGAAGTAGATTGCCTCATCTTCCTTCTGCAGAGTGGCTGGTGGGTTTGAACCGCCAATCTTCTGGCTAGCAGTCAAATGCCTTAGGCTCTGTGCCACCAAAGCTCCTTAAAGACTAGTTAGGTCAATGTAAATCTACATTGCTAGTTCAGTGGTCTCTCAGTCTGAGGAAAGGCAGAATAGGAGCCAACAGGAAAATGCCATCTCTGTTATCATCTTCCCCCAGGTTTAATGAATTCACTGAACTAAAGACCAGCTTTCTATAGCCATCTGATTACTCTTGATACCAAATAAAGAAATCACAGGATATATCCTACCTTCTGCCTGGTGTTACTACCTGACACATCATAGAGAAACCTTACCAGCTCTCTGCTGATTAGACCCACTACTTGGACATCCATAATCCCAGGCTAAAATGAAGAGAAAGACATTTCAGCTGTTCTTGTATTGTCCTCCAAATCAGGTGCTAGAAGCACGTCAACAGCAATCAGAGATATTGCATTTTCTGGAAGAGAGAGTTGACTCTCTTCTTTAATCTAGTCCTATCTCCGCATGTGTCACAAAATCATCTATGTGTTCTATGATGATGCCCCTCTTACCCAGTTTCAGAATTAGTACAGTTTTTCTCCTATTTTTGAAATCTGTTGGTAATTTCAAATGGAATGGGAAGAAAAAATTAAATTATTGCTCTCATTTAGTATCTTACTCATAATACTTGGTCTTTTAAACCACTTAAAGCTAATTTCTCCTAATTCATTTTTATATTTTCTGTCAATTAAACTTGTACTTTAATAATTAAATATTTTCATATATAAAGAACTTTAATTTTGTTTCTTAAAAAAAAGTGACCAACTGACAAGAAAATACTACAGAAATTCTACTAAGAGCCTATATTCTATTTTCCATTTTGTTAGACCAAACCAAGTAAATCTTACTTTTCCCCAATTTAAGAATTTTATACTTTTACTTCCTTTTCCTACACATCTACAGTATTATACAGAAAAATGACAAACAGCTTACCCCAGACAATTCCTATTTTCATTCAGATAAATCATATTCAAGTTGTTCCTAAGTATAAGCCATAACATTTTTGAGGATGAGGTTTTTTCAGCTTGAGAAACTAAAATTCCTTAGAAAGTTACAAACAAAAACCCAAATATAAACTCCTAAACATTTAATGTTCATATCCTTGTACTCTGAAGATTTATATAAATTATCAAAGTATGTTCCTACGTGATAATTAAATTTTTTCACAATTCACATTTATATATGTGTAATAGTGCTGAACAAAAAATGAGTCTGCTCTGTATACTTTCATCCAAAACACACACACACACAAAAATGGCATTTATCCAGGCACTAAACCACCAGTGTACCTATCCATAATTACTAGACTAAAAGTTATTATGCTTAAAGAAATATCAAGTAAAATGTGAAGGCTTCTCATGTTCATTAAAGCCTTCTTTCACTGAGGAGCTGAACACAAGGAAAAGCATTAACTGAGTTGTACAATTTTTAAGAGTCAAGCAAAGCCAGCAAAAACCACGCAGTCTTACCTTCAGGGGGCAAACTGTAGAGCTGGGCCACAGGTCCAGTTACAGGAATAACTGGCAACTGGAAATGGAACGAACTTTTAATTGTTGGGAGCGGCAGGCGATTTTTAGGGAAACACTTCCTCATTATGAGACTAGAGGTGTTGACAAGAGGATCAAGGGTCCTGACTGCCAAGCATTCCTATTTTCAAAGAAAAGAAAAATGAACCTCATGCTGAAAATTCAGTACTACTTTTCCTTAAATATTTTAACTAAGCAGAAATCAGTACTACAGTTGGTATCAAAACTCACTAAGACCACAAATGCTGGTGGTTCAAACCCACCAGCCACTCCTCGGAAGGAAGGCTGGGCAATCCTACTTCCGTAGTGATACTGCCTCGGAAACCCAAGGAGGGGTCGCTATGAGTCGGGTTTGACTCGACGGCACATAACAACAACAACAACAACAAGACCACGAATACCTACGAATGACCTAGGGGGGCATTTAGCAAACCTAGAGCACAAAAATAAAGAATACTTAAGGGAAGAAGAGGGGAAAAGGATTAAATAGGAAAAACGGTAAGAAATTAAGAATGGTATGAAAAATAAAAAGAAACAAAGATGATGTGTACTCACTGTATTATTTTATCAGTAATAACAAACATTAATCTATGGGTGGATACATAGGTAGACAGGCAAAATGATCGGGTATGGGTAGGTGAAAGGGGAACATACCCATGACTATATATAGTTTTGGCAGATAGTGCTTCTACATACATATTTGTGTGTTCTGTAAGAATGTCCATATACATAATAGAGCTAACAGAAGACAAAGTTATAACTTCTTAGTCACAGCCAAATAACTTGAGGTAGTTAGTTGCTGGACCCTATGGGTATGGAACCATGGTCACAAGGGGCATCAAGTTGGATTAGCATAACATACTACACAAAAACACTGTTCTACATTCTACTTTGATGAGCAGTAACTGAGGTCTTAAAAGCTTACGAGTGGCCATCTAAGATGCAACTATTGGTCTCTCCTCACAAAGAAGAATGAAGAAAACCAAAAACTCATAGTCCAAGGGACTAGTGGATCATGAACCTTAGCACACATGAAACTAAGACCAGAAGAACTAGATGGTGCCTGGCTACCATTGCCAATCACTCATAAAGGGATCAAAATTGGAGATTCTGGTAGCATGGGAGAAAAATATGGAACAAAACTCGAAATCATAAAAAAGACCATGCTTACTGGTCTGACAGACACTGGTGACACCCCTGAGACTATGGCCTCTAGTCAGCCTTCAGGCCTGAATTGAACTCACTCCTGTGGCTTAAATTTTCACCAAACAACAGACAGGCACAGAAGGTGAACAATTATACCAGGCAGGTATACTCCCTAAAATAATCAACCACGGAGATCAGAAGAGCAGCATGTGCACAGGGAAATGGCTCCGAGGGCAGGATGCATAGGAGAGAGGAGCACAAGGACAAGGTAAGCACAGGGAGGGAACTGGAAGAGAGCTCTTACACTGCCATCAGAGTCACGAAACAACACGTGTATGAACTGTTGAATGAAAAATCAATTTGCTCTGTACACTTTCACCCAAATCACACACACACACACACACAAAATGGTGTTTATTCAGCTGAGTCTTTCTTAGAACTGTATCAGTTATATCTCATAAACTGGCTGTTCAGTTCACAAGAGAACAAATTTGCTGTCCTGGAATCTAATCTTCACAAAGTCTAAGATAGTGGGTATGAAACTATTTCACATAACAATATTAATATTACTAATAATTGTCACTTAGAAGATACTTTAATATGATGTAAAATTTTCATTACATATTTTCATATCTGACTCTTCACAATAGAGAAGAAATTAAGGCTCAGAAATGGTAAGAGGTATAAACAAGGTAACCTCACAAGGATTTAAACCCAGAGTTTCAGGCTCCAAATACCATGCTCTCTTACATATATTAAATATTCAATCCTATCTAAACTAGGAATAATAAATAGAAGTACACAGATGATTGTCTTAGAAAAGAGAAAAATTAGGATAAACAGGAAACGTGTGCTCAGATATCTTAACTACTGTCATGAATAAAAAGATCACATTTGTCATATGTAATGTCAAGAGAATACAAGCAAAGAAAATGACTGTAATTCTCCAAAGATATCCTTCTAATAACTGTAGCATTCTGATGAAACAAAATGGTTGCACTGGAACATTGCTACTCTCCATACTGATAGTTTTCCACTGATGCTAGAAAGATCTTGAAGATACTGTCAAGACTGCTTATATTTAAGATGGCTGGCAGAACTAGAACCTTCACCTCCAGGTTTCACTTTTGTACCTTCTCTATCTATCAGGCAGGAAGATATGAAGAACATTTACAGACAACAGAAATGCCTCACCAGCAGTAAAAGATCCACAAATTCCATCTGAGGAACACCCAAAAATTGAGTACAACCAACTGCACAATCTAGAAGGCATGGCTACGTGGAATCCTTTCCTGCTCAGTGGATGGATTTAGACATCTTCCTTTTGGGGGAGGGGGTGGTGGAGACATAGAGGGGCTGGAAATCTCAAATTGCAGAGATGAGAGATGTGCACTAACCAGTTTCTCCAACTCAGTCTGAAGTCACATACATGTAAGAAATGATTGTACCTTTCAGTTTCAAGACACGTTTAAATATACTTATAATACTTTTACTTTTCTAAGTATCTGTACACAAATTTGCCTTTCTTAAAAAAACAAAGCATATCATTAGTACATAATCACAATAATAGGAAGAAAGTAAAAACACTCACTTGAGAAGTGTTATACAGAATTTTCATTCCATTGGCATCAATAAAAGCTTTTCTTCCCAACTTGATGTTTGTAACACTTTTTAAACTCTGTAAAATTCCTTTCCGAATGAGCATGTTTCTATGCCGATTGTCATGGCGATGCCAGTCTACATAAATTGTTAAAAGCACTTGGACATATCCTCTGTCTACAGCTCTCCTGGCATTTGTTTCTTTAACAAAAGAAAATTAAGAAAGAATATTAAAAAGGTGATAATAGAATAAATCAAATTAAAATATTACCTCAACACTGTGATGAATTATTTCCTTTAAAAAAATAAACAGCATCCATATATTTAAATATTTTTTAATCTAATAAAAGACGTAAGTTCCACAGGGCAAATTACAGTATTTTCCAGAAATAGATCCATATGTTGTTCAGTAAATAAAAATCTCCTTAATAAAAATAAAGCTACACCTTTTTAAATGTTCATACTAACAAGTTTCATGTATTTTAAAACTTATAACTATGTTTATACCCAATGGAATACATAACCTTACTAGCTGTGAATATGATTTTGTTAAAAAGCTATTATCATCAGTGTAACTTCTATTACAAACTTTTTATCTCCACTGAAATATACTCCATTGGTCTGTATCTCTTATTACAAACTCTATGTGTTTCTACTGAAATTAATTACTCCAATTACTCTGTAATTGTATAAATAACCATGCCATAACAATACCAAGTTAAAAACACTTCATACAACTTTTTAGCAAATAAAGTGTAAGGAGCATTAAATGACTAGAAGATAGTGCTTTCCAGTCATTAATCTTCTAATGTAATGAATACTACATTAAAGACTTTTTGTCATTGGAGCACAATTAAGAGAAATAAATCCACAAATGTGACCTGATTTTATTATTTTTAAAGTATTAATATTTAGGATTATTAACCAAAAGGTTGCATTTTAATAGGATGGCAACAAAGGAATCATATCACGTGAGCATACTGAGTTACACAGCACATCGCAGGGCCAAGGAAAACGAGGGCAAGATAATGTAGAATACCAACCTATCAGAGAGGTTGTTTCATTACAAAGAAATAACCATCTCTTCCTAATCTCATAAAATGGCCCCAGAGTTCATGGCATGAACACTAAAACAGTGCACCAATAAGGCTCTGCTGCTTTTAGATGCCTGAATTAATTACTGCAGTTTCCAAATGTGCTGATACTAAAACCCAAACCCGTAGCCATCGAGCTCAGTAACGATCCCGTAGGACAGAGTAGAACTGCCCCACAGGGTTTCCAAGGCTATATAATATTCACAGAAACAGACTGTCACAGCTTGCTCCCATGAAGCAGCTGGTAGGTTTGATCCCCTGACCTATCAGTTCTCAGTCGAGCGCTTTAATCACTGCACAACCTGGACTTCTAAATGAGCTCATACATACTTAAAACATCATGTAATGATACTTGGATAATCAAACTAACTCCCTCTCTCAGAAATTATGGTTTCACATTCGAGAGCTAAAAGACACCTGCTAGGTTAACCTAGCTTTAAAACTCCTAAAGGAGCTCTGGTGGCGTAGTGCCTAAGGCATTTCACTGCTAACCAGAAGGTTGGTGGTTCAAACCCACCAACCACTCCGTGAAAGGAAGACTGGGCAATCTACTTCTGTAAACATTTACTGCCTCAGAAACCCAAAAGGGATCACTATGAGTTGGAATAGACTCGATGGCACTGAGTTGTTTTTTTATTTTTACAATAGCTAGATTTGCTAAGGCTATGTCTAACAAAAGTCTCACGTATTTTAAATGAGTATATATAGTTTGTTTACAGATTTGTACAACAACAGAGTTGTACAACAACTCTCTTCTATATTCCGATTATCAGAATATAGCCTTTATAATATTATTATAGCCTTTAGCTTACTAGCTATGAATACAATTTTGTTAAAAATCATTAATACCATTATAACTCCTATTACAAACTTTGTGTGTTTCTACTGGTATTTCTAACAGCATAAATGGTATTTATGAGCAATATTAAAATTCTTCATGAAAGAAGAAATAAGAAACTTTCTCATAATTCAAAAACAGGTAGGAAGTAACCCTTAAAGGAGATTAATAGAACCATCTACAATCTGAAACCGAGCACAATTAAAACAAACTAGTAAAAGAATTTTTATTCATGTGTCCAGAGCACCAAACTCACAATTAACATACATTTCTTGTTCTCTCTCTAATAAAAAGACAGCTTAGGTTCACTTTTGAGTTACCACTTCTGGTCTGTATGCAAGCAATGGCAAATGAACTATCTTTCTGGACTGTGTAGGTATAAGTTTTCTTTGCTCTATACTCTCCCCCTGTATTTAATATAGTACTATAATTTACCCTTTTAAAGTAAATTATTGCTGACTCACTCTCGAAAAAAAGTCAATTACAAAAATCAGTGAATGCTCCAAAATGCCATGTTAATTTAAAAATATGCAGTGTGCTACTAAATGTTACTTTGCATTTTTAAATTTCCATCCTATTTACTGCATGCCCTTTGAAAATATACTAACCATAAACTAGATACAGTCTACTTGTCACTTAAATTTTTATCCTAAGGGAGTAAACAGGTATGTTTGCCCACCACTCTTTTAAAGAAGAATGACGGAGGAAGTAAAAGGAAGACTATTTAAAACAAGTTATCAGATTTCAGTAATTTTAGGTTACCTGATTTCTATAAGGGAGTTCTGGTGGCGTAGTGCCTAAGGCATTTGATTGCTAACCAGAAGGTTAGCGGTTCAAACCCACCAGTCACTCCTCGGAAGGAAGGTTGGGCAATCTACTTCCGCAGTGATACCGCCTCGGAAACCCAAGGAGGGGTCGCTATGAGTCGGGTCCAACTCAATGGCAGTATGTTTGGCTTTTTTTTTCCCCCTATGAAATACTCGAAACTAATAAGGGTTTTATATTTTTCACTGATTTAAAATGAATGACTTATTATCACTGATTCTAGTAATTAGTAAGTTTTAATAAGTGTTTAATTTTAATAGCTAATCTAATCCATCCCAAATAAAAAAATACATATGCTTGCGTTAATTTAACACTTAATCTTAATTCAAATTCAAGGGTAAGCCGGTCTTACCCTTGACAGTTTTTTACAAACTGTCTATACATTGAAAGCCATCAACACAGAAGCTGCAAAACTAAAATGTTTCTGTGGCTAAATAAAATACTAATTGTAAGCAACCAATTTTCCATGGAAGTGTCTTTTATTTAATAGCTACTACTGATACAAGGAGGGGTCGCTATGAGTCGGGGCCGACTCGACGGCAAACAACAACAACAACAACAACAACTGATACTGCTAATGAAAATTATTTTTTAAAAGAGACACTAAGTATACTGAAGAGAAAATAAACACATAAATATAGATGACATTTACTCCAATGCTTTAGTTTTAAAAATAAAGAAAACAATCTTTTTTTCATAAATGAAGTTAGCCTGAAAAATTTACATTAATAATCACTGTTTTAATGTTATAAATTTGAATTTATGGTACAAACAAAATTCCTAAAGAGAAATTTCTAACTGAAAATCAGGTGTTATAGAGAGATACAGTGGTTGTTCAAGATATTTCTCACAGTAAAAGTTCTCAATGCCATGTAAACTTCACTTTAAAATAATACCAATTCAATATTTACATTTTATTTTCCTCTACTAGAAAAGCTTTATGTTTATATAAATAACTTGGAAATAGGAAGTCAATGTACTTGAATAAATTATATGTTTTCTGAATAAAATATAGTTCAATCAACATAATATGATATTATGATATATACCAACTATACTGTATGATCAACTCAATTGTTACAATAAAATATCATAATCCAGCTTTATAACTATGGAATTATGGATACAAACTAAATCCACATCTCTAATTTCTTTAACATGGTAGATAGAATACTCAGAAAAGTAGAATCTAGTATTTCTAGTATTTAAAAACTTACTTGATTTTAGCAATGCAGCAAGAGTGTCTAAAGCAACCCTGTCAACACAACGAGAAAACACAAACAACAACAAAACTAGTAAAATAAATCTACAATAGTAAATCCACACAATTTTTAGACAAGTAATTATTATTTATTGCAAAATTTATCCTTGTTAGAAACAATTACATAATGGTGTTTCTCTGTAAGCTAAAGGGTTCCCTTTAGCTTGAAACCTGATGTTTTGTTTTCAATAGAAAATTACCAAAAAAAATTTTTAACAAAGAAAAAGTCAGAAATGCTAACATCTTTATATCAGAAATTCAATAAATGGAATAAATATTTTATTTGATTCTTATAGAATTCACAAATGAACAATACCATTTTACAAATCATAGGCCCTGATTAATAAAGGGATTAAAACAAAAGGAAGCTTTAATACAAATTCAGTTCCTAATTCCAAAATTCTATATATTTTCTTAGCTTTCTAACTTGAACATATCTTAGCTCTATAAGCAATAATCGTCATATATAAAGGTTATAACAAATGTAACATATTTTGGATGGTGGATGTTTGGAGAGAGGAAGGCCTTATTATTTTCTGGCCATAAAGCAATGAAGAGATTAAGAAGCCTAACTAAAGTCTCAAAAACTCTTACTATCCACTAAAGAACAAAAGAATAGCTCTAATGTTGAAGGTGCTTATATTTTCGCTGACAATAAATACTGTTACACATTGTAAAATAAACTATCATTAATCAGTTTAAAAAATACTTATAGCACCACTGTGAAAAACATATAATTCAAATAGTTTTTTCAGAAATGAGTTACTGAAGAAATGGCACTGAATTTCAATAACTTTAAAAATACATAGCTACACATTACAGTACCTCTCAATAAGATTTCAAATAGTAAAATTAATTTGCATTAAAAATATGTATGTTTTCAAGATTAAGTATTTCATTCATCATTAAGCATTTACTGAATGCCTATTAGATACCCACAGTAGCAGAGTCTTCATGGATGTAACATTAGAACCCAAACTTATCTCTTTCACAGATAGTTTTACAGTCTAGGTAAGGTAAGAAAATGTAACACATGTGGAAAAACCATTCAACAAATTAAAAAAAAAAAAAAATGAAGCACTAGAGAACCTGTGTAACTAGGAGATGTAATATATCGAGATGTTGGCAAAGGCAAAACACATATATTAGGAGGAAGTAAGTTTAAGATGGATACTGACTACAGTCATAGCACCAATTCTCAGTAAGAAACATTTCATAATCTTATTGTTATACAATAAAATGTACATGAGATTATAACACTATCAGAATGATGGCTTTAAATTGGTTCTATGTTTACATAGAACTAAATGGATCTTTTGACTGAAGTGCAATTTACAAAAAAAAATGAGAAAGAAAACTTATCATTCAGCAATACTTGATAAATGCCAGACATCATTATACGTGCTTTATATAACTGCTTTCTAGCTTAATTCTTAAGACAACTCTGACCCACGGAATTGGCACATTTTATGGATAAAGAAACGAAATATTTCAGAAGTTATATAACTTATCTAGGGTCACATAAAAACTAAATGGTATGAAAAACCATTAATTTAAATGACTAAACTTCTGAAAGAAACAAAAGATTTCAGAAATTATATAACTTATCTAGGATCACATAAAAACTAAATGGTATGAAAAATCATTAATTTAAACATTCTGTTGACAAATGAAATTGAAAAACCAGAAATGTCAGTCACTTTTTAAAAAGGCAATCTGGAACCAGATCTACCTCTCTACCTGATACAACTTAAAAAATATATATATATATATATTTATATACTTATATATATATATATATGTATATGTATATATATATGTATATATATGTGGCAGTGAAATATTACTGGAAAACTTTATGAATAGCCCTGAAACATCATGCAATATAATGAGGGAAAATGAGCCCCTCAGGTCAGAAGGTATTCAAAATACAACTGAACAAGAGGTGTCTCCTCAGAGTAGAGCCGACCTTAATGATGTGGACAGAGTAAAACTTTTAGGACCTCTACTGGCAGATGTGGACATCTCAAGATGAGAAGAAACAGTGGCAAACATCCATTAATAATTGGAACATGGAATGTACAGAGTATGAATCTAGGAAGACTGGAAGTTGTCAAAAACAAAATGGAATGCATAAAGATCGATATCCTGTTGTGTCGTCGTTATTTGCCATCGAGTTGGACCCGACTCATAGCAACCTTTCCTTGGTTTTCTGAGGGGGTATTACTCAGAAGTAGATTGCCCAACCTAGTAAGCTCAAATTACTGGTTTTGACTATTTTGGATCAGAGGATCATATGATCTACTATGATAAGAATGACAATTGAAGAAGAATGGTGTGCCATTCATCACCACAAAGAACGTATCAAGATCTTTCCTGAAGTACAATGCTGTGATAAAATAATATACATAAGCCTAGGAGAAACACCCATTACTACTACCATTATTCAAATTTACAAACCAAGCACCAAAGCCAAAGATGAGGAAATTGAAGATTTTTATCAACTTCTGCAGTCTGAAATTGACCAAACATGTAATCAAGATGTATTAATTATCACTGGTGACTGGAATGTAAAAGTTGGAAACAAAGAAGAATCACGGGTCATTGGAAAATATGGCTTTGGTGATAGAAATAATGCTGGAGATCGCATGATAGAATTTTGCAAGACCAACGACTTATTCATTGCAAATACCTTTTTTCAACAACACAAACAGTGGCTATACACATGGACTTCACCAGATGGAGTACACAGGAATCAGACTGACTACATCTGTGGCAAGTGGCAATGGAGAAGCTCAATAATTTCACCTAAAACAAGGCCAGGAGCTGATTGTGGAACAGACCATCAATTGCTTATATGCAAGTTCAACTTGAAGAAAATTAAAACAAGTCCACAAGAGCCAAAATATGACCATGATTATATCCCTCATGAATGTAGAGACCAACTAAACCGATTTGATACACTCAACACCAGTGTCTGAAAACCAGAGGAATTATGGGATATCATCAAGGACATTATCCACAAAGAAAGCAAAAGGTCCTTAAAAAGACAGGAAAGGAAGAAAAGACTAAAATGGACGTCAGAAGAGACTCTGAAAACTGCATTTCAATGGAGAGGAGCTAAAGCAAATGGAAGAACTGACAGGATAAAAGAGCTGAACAGAAGATTTCAAAGAGCAGCTCGAGCAGACAAAGTCAATTACTATAATGCAATGTGCAAAGACCTAGGGTTAGAAAACCAAAAGAGAAGAACACGCTTGGCATTTCTCAAGCTGAAAGAATTGAGGAAAAAATATAAGCTTCAGATTGCAATATTAAAAGATTCCATGGGCAATATGCTGAATGATGTGGAAAACATCAAAAGAAGATCGATAGAATACACAGAGTGACTACACTAAAAGAACTGGTAGAGGATAACCCATTTCAGGAGGTGGCGAATGATCAAGAACCAATGGTACTGAAGGAAGAACTCAAAGCTGCACTGAAGGAACTGGAGAAAAATAAGACTCCAGGAATTGACAGAATACCAACTAAGATGTTTCAACAAATGGATGCCGTTTGTTCACTCGGCTAAGCCAAGAGATCTAGAAAAGAGCTACCTGGCCAACTGACTGGAAGAGATCCATATTTGTACCCATTCCAAAGAAAGATGATCCACAGAATGTGGAAATTATCAAACAATATCATTAATATCACACTCAAGTAAAAGCGTACAGAAGGTAATTCAAAAACAGTTGCAGCAGTATATTGACAGAGAACTTCCAGGAATGCAAGCTGGATTCAGAAGGGGACATGGAGCTAGGGATATCCCAGCTGGTATCTGATGGATCTTGGCTGAAAGCAAAGAATACCAGAAAGATGTTTACTTGTGTTTTATTGACTATGCAAAAGCATTCAATTGTGTGGCTGATAACAAATTGTGGATAACATTGAGAAGAATGGGAATTCCCAAACACGTAATTACACTCATAAGGAACCTGTACATAATAGACCAGGAGGCTGTCGTTCAAACAGAACAAGAGGATACTGAATGTTTAAAATCAAGAAGGGAGTGCGTCAGGGTTGTATCCTTTCACCATACTTATTCAATCTGTATGCTGAGCAAATAATCCGAGAAGCCGGACTATACGAAGAACAATGTGGCATCAAGATTGGAGGAAGGCTCATTAACAACCTGAGATATGCAGACAACATAACTTTGCTTGCTGAAAGTGAAGATGACTTGGAGCACTTGCTGGTGAAGATTAAAGACTACAGTCTGCACTATGAATTACACCTCGATGTAGAGAAAACAAAAATCCTCCAAATTGGACCAATAAGCAGCATCATAAATGGAGGAAAGACTGAAGTTGTGAAGGACTTCATATTACTTGGTTCTACAATCAAAGCCAACGGGAGCAGCAGTCAAGACATAAAAAGATGTACTGCAGTGGGCAAATGTTGCAAAAGATCTCTTTCAAGTGCTGAAGAACAAAGATATCTCCTTGAAGACTAAGATGCGCCTAACCCAAGCCAAGGTATTTTCAATCACCTCGATTGCATGTGAGAGCTGCACAATTAATAAGACAGACCAAAGAAGAGATGAAGCTTTTGAGTTGTGGTGTGGCAAAGAATGCTGAAAGTACCATGGACTGCTAAAGGAACTACATATCTGTCCTGGAAAAAGTGCAGCCGAAATGCTCCTTGGAAGCATGAATGGCCAGACTTCATCTCACATATTTTGGTCATGTTGTTAGAAGAAATCATTCTCTGGAGAAGGATGTCATGCTTGGTAAAGGGTCAACAAAAAAGGGGAAGGTCCTCACCAAGATGGATTGATATAGTGGGTGCAGCAATGGGCTCAGGAATAGTAGGGATCATGAGGCTGGAATAGGACTGGGCAGTGTTTCGTTCTGTTGTACATAAGGTCACCATGAGTCAGAGATGGATGACTCGATGGCATACAACAACAACAACATATATATATGGAAGATATTGAATATAAGGCAGAATGG